ACACCTGTAAAAATATTGTCTTCTAGCCCTATGCATGGTCATGGGCACACTACCCCCTGCATAGACATACCTGATCATTCAGCCTGTCCACCCATCTATCCACCCATAGATCACTGTTTGCCATCACTGACAATGCAATATTGTACCTGCAAAACGGTTCATCTTTGTTGTCTGTACCTCCCATGTACCTCTCTATGTCTTTCTCTTTCTCAATGCCACTGTGTTGATCACTCACATTTGGTACATTGCCCTTCTCTTCACCCAAATCAATACTGGTCTCTACCTGTCTAGCAATGTTCCCTCCAGTCCCCTCCCACCCCTGGTAACCAACAAAGAAAATTTCCTTCTGTATATTAACCTCTCCTTGACTTTTTACAATAATGAGCTAATATAATATTATTTGTCCTTCTGTAATTGACTTATTTCACTCAGCATAATGTCCTCCAAGTTCATCCACATTATGCGGTGTTTTGTAGATTCTACATTATTCTTTAGTGTTGCATAATATTCCATTGTGTGTATGTACCATAGTCTGGCTACCCATTCTTCTGTTGATGGGCACCTAAGTTGTTTCTGTCGGTTTGCTATTGTAAATAGTGCTTTGCTGCAGTAGTCAAAACTGCCTGGTACTGGTACAAAGACAGACACATAGACCAGTGGAACAGAATTGAGAACCCAGAAACAGATCCATTGACCTACGGTCAGCTGATTTTTGACAAAGGGCTGATATCTATTAAATGGAGAAGAGATGGTCTCTTTAACAAATGGGGCTGGAAAAACTGGTTATCTATTTGCATAAAAAATTAAAGATCCATACCTCATACCATACACAAAAACTAACTCCAGAAAAATCAAAGATTTAAATGTGAAACCTAAAACTGTAAAGTTCCTCAAGGAAAAATAGGGGCAAATTTAAGGGCTTTACTTTGTGGCATAAATAGACTGTCGAGCAGAACCCAAAAGATACAAACAGCTGAAAACAAACTAGATGAATGGGACTTTCTAAAAATTAAATTTTTATGTGCTTCCAAAGACTTCTCCAAAAGAATAAAAAGAGAACCTACAAATTGGGAAAAAATATTCAACAATGACATATCTGACAAGGGACTTATCTCTAAAATTTACAGAAAACCCCAACACCTCAACAACAAAAAGATTAACAACCCAATTTAAAAATGGCAGAAGACATGAATAGACACTTCACCAAAGAGGATATTCAGGCAGCCAGCAAATACATGAGGAAATGCTTATGATCATTAGCCACTGAAGGAAAGGAAAGGAAAGTCACTGCCGTCGAGTCAGATCCAACTCATAGCGACCCCTCCTTGGGTTTCCGAGGCAGTATTACTATGGAAGTAGATTGTCCCATCTTTCTTTCAAGGAGTGGCTGGTGTGCTTGAACTGCCAGCCTTCTGG